CCTGAGCAGGGGTCATGCGCACACCTTATGATGCTCAGGTCCCGAGTATGGTTACACCGCCCCAGCAGTGGCAGCAAGAGGCGATGTCGGAACAGCCGCTTCCAGGGGGAGCCCGCTGCCGCGGTCCGGAGCCGCCCGACAGCGCAGTGCTTCGGCGCCGCGCCGGCCCGAACCACGCATTACGACGGCAGTGACAGAGGTGCTCTGTGAAGGGAAGAGACAGCGCCCGCTCCGCTCTCTGTCGCAGCTGAGTCTTAAGTCCAGGTGCCAGACTTTGCCGCTCGCCACGAACACATGCAGCAGCAGCTGGGGGCTTAGCTTTTTCTCCTGCATCTTTTGCTACTCGCATGACAAGCTATGGCTCTTCAGTTGTGCTTGGAACCGGGTAGAACTGCCGCATTGCTCCCGAACCATGTGAATCAGTGATTGATGCCAGAGCTGTCGGAGGCTGGAGAGGCGAAAGTATTTGAATCGCTACGTGACCCAGCCGGAACCCTTCGTCTTCTTCACGCCTTCACGAAGCGAGACTCGCCAGCCGCCGATGCCGAAGGACCCGCTCCCTCAGACTCACATCTCGTGTCCGAATGTCGCAGATATGCGGAGGATCCAGGAGAGGATTGGCGATACCATCGGAGAGCAGCTGGCCGGTCGCAGTCCCAAGGCAGGCAAGTAGTCGCTGCTGAACAAGTTCGCACTGGCATGTTTTCTCAGAGCGAGGCGCAACAGAAGCCAGGGGTCGGCAAGCAGTTCGAGCGACTGGCGCTGACATCAAGCAGCGAAGCACGCAGAAGGCCACCTCGTAGAGTGTCGGGATCCGAAGCAGTTCAGTTTCTTGGCCTAGCGTGAGTCGCCCCGTGCTGGCGAGAGCATCCAGCGAACAGTTGTAGGAAGAGTTCGTGCCTCATCGCTTTCCGGACTCTCCGTTTGCTGCTGCAGTTGCGGCCTCTGATGCTTGCAGATCGTCGTCAGGTCTTGAGCAGTCAGCTAGCGACGATGAGGAGGCTGCAGGAGAAACGCGAGAAAGAGCAACGTGAAAGGGAAGAGCTGGAGCAGGCGGCCCGATGCTTTCTGGTCTTTTTAGCTGGAGGGCGCTGTCTTGCAGAATCTGCAAGTAAGCTAGCAAGCGATTAAGCTGGCATCCCATCTACGATGGCCATCAGACAGGGCTTAGTTGAGGTTAGCAGCATTGGCCGTGCAGTCACCACGTCACCGTTCAACGCAAGTTTTTGTGCTCCTGGAGTTTGAGTCTCAAGCTGTCCGGTTTAGGCAAAAGTGTGTGCCAGAAGTGACAGGCGCAGGCAGTGGACGAGGAAATGAAGGAAAGAGTCAAGCAGGCCGATGCTACGGCAGAAGCACACAGATCAAGACGACTGGCTATGTGTGCATACTAGTATGGAAAGTCATGCTTCTTGCAGCATTTCGATCGGCACATTGCTGGAGAAGTGGTTTGGCTGAGGCAGTTGGCCCAATCGAACCGATGGCAAAGAAGATCGAGCGCATGGTGGATGACAAGCGGCGCGGGCTGCAAAGGGTCCAGAACCAGAAGAGAAAGGCCGACGTGAGCGCTGCCGCATCCTTGCCAAAGTCCAGGGACAGAGGCTTTCGCAACCGCATGATATTGGAAGGACATCGACATGATGCTCCAGCGTGCCAACAACAGACCATTGCTGATGCAGCAGGCGTCGCGGAAGGCTCAGCAGGACCGGGCTTGGCATTACCGGACATGCCAGGCCGACACTGTCGAAAGGGCTCGACGCAGAGCCCTGTTTCGCGTTCGCAATGCTCTGCGGTGGTCCCAGCCGTGATGAAAGTACACGATGTGCAGCACGGGACCTGTGCATGTTTGCCGGCTGTTTGGCCTTGTTTGCAGCATCTCTAAGGAGACAAGCGGGTGTGCGCGATGTGAACCGCATCCCGGCTTTCAACCACGACCCCTTCTGATACTCTGGGGTTGTTGAGGGTCTTGTCTTGAATCTGCTATGCAATAATTGGCTGGGTCACTTTTAGGGGGTGAGTTTTCAATGGCAGCCTGTGCCGCGAGAAAGCAGAAGCTGGAGTTTCGGTCTGGGGACTGCTGAGATCGTGTGTCGCGTCTGTTTCGGTTTCAATGTTATTGCCAGTTGATCCTCTTTCATTCTATTCCGACGGCTCTAGTGCCAGAACTGGGGTTGCTGCGCAGGTTCACGCGAGCAGCTGAGGCCATTTCGGGGAGGAGGAGTTGGACGAGTTGGATCGAGGAGATGCTGCCGTTGGCATCAAGGACGAGCCGCGGGGGGTGGAAGTGGCCTCGTAATGAGGCGCAGCTTGTCAGCATCAGCTGCCCACAGTTTCTTTCCCAATGCAGCTCGGTACAAGCGCGTAAGCTCTTAGTAGGCTTGTGACTTGTACATCGGCAGGAAGACGAGGAGTACGCTGATGACTTCTCGTAGCTTCTTGGAATCCAGCAGCTCAGGCACTCTGAGCCTGCAGTATGGCACCAGCGGCTTTATAGTTACTTCGTTGGTTCTCTGGGCAACCCATTCGGTACCCTTGCCAGCGCCGTAGCTGATCCAGTGCCATCTCGCATTGTTTTTTGTTTGCTTGCCCAAGCTTGGCTCTTGCCTCTGTCTGTGCCCGGAAGCTAAGCGTCGCACGGTTATAACTTAGAACAAGTCTTCCTTTCTGATCACTGATCTGGAGCATGTGGCCAACGCCGAATTTGACAATCGGTCTTCATTGTACAGATACCGCCTCCGTTGGTGGTGACCGAATTTGTTATGTCATGCACGTTTTGTGGAGTCTGTCAGGACTGAGAAGTGCTAGCAGGAGTTTGCTGCATACGTAGCGCAGCAACCAAGCACGAGCCACTTCTGACATCAGACGGCTTGACCTTCACCAGCATGCTTGGATGGCACAGAAGGTGCCCAACTTCTCAGCTGCTCAGCTCTGGTGTCTAATTCGGATGACTGGACAATGATATTTCCTGCAGAATAAATCCTTCGTTTCTTGCACTGGAGGGTAAGGTTGTATGATGTTGTAGGTGGGCCTGGGATTTGGGAATCGTGCATGGCCTATCTTCAACTCTTGAGCCGCCCGCAGCACGACACTCTTTCTCCAATGGACCGCCAGTAACATGACCACATCAGTGCCACGAGGGCTAAGCAGCTTCTGGGCAGCTTGTGCAAGAATCAGCATCGCCGGTGCGGAATTCTCTTTTCACGGCTCCCTGCAGCAATCCTGCCAGCGGCCATGTCGGACGTATCTGGGGATGATGACTGGTCTTCCTGGGCATCGCGTCTGAAGGCATGGGATGTGGCAACTGAGAAGCATTCGACTGTGCATATGTTCAGGTAACATGTCGCACTGGAAAACCACCCCCTGCCGCTTCCTGCCGCCGTCTCTCGGACAGGTCGGAGATGGCGTTTGGTACCAGCGCTGTGAGGGCACGGAAGTCGAGGCAAGAGTCGTTTCTCGGAAGCCTTTATCACAACATGTCTTACTTTTCGAGCAGCTTAAAGATGTTGGCGGAGGCCATGCGAAGGCAAGGTTGTGGCTGAATTCATGCAAGAACCGAAGTATGCTCAGCATACTCTAGTGATCATCCCCTTCATAGGGTGCCTCGGTGTCAACATGTAAGGTTGAGATCTGTGCGACAAGCAGCACGTGCTGGGTGCAGTATCACGTGAAGCCTTCCAAAGGCTTGGCCGTGACTTTCAGTTCATGATTGCCGACTCTCGTGAGGGCAACTGTTCGAGACGTTCTCAGTACAAAGGCCAGCTAGCTGCCCTTGAAAGCATAATCTGGCAGGCGGCAGGCAAAATCGCCGAGCGCTCGTCAAAGTAGAGGAGTGGAGTACATCTTGCCAGACCCCGCGTGTCTCTCCGCTGTCTTGATGTCATCTGTGCAGGAGCTGATGCGAGTGCAGCAGGATCATGCACGCTCACCTAGTTCGCCGATAGGCTGCACATAAGATACCCGTGACCGCATTCAAAACCTCTCCAAGGTGGCAGCGTCGAACTAGCGGTTACTAGCACTGCACCGACATTGGAGAACTTTGCCACGCTGCACCGACATGTTGGCTTGTGTTCGCAAATCCAATGCGAATCAAGGTCCCAGGCTGCAAGCGCCAGAGCTTCTGAAGAATCCGATTCCGCATTTGAGTGCCTGGGCATTGTCAGTGACATGCGCACCCAAGATCACTCAAGATCACTCAAGCCAGCAGGGCTGGCTGGGCCTCCGAAGGCTACACGCCCACGGTGGCCGAGTGACTTGGAGCCAATGGCTTATTCCAACAGTGCATGATGTTACTGTTGCATTGCTATTCCTCCTCCTCCTCCTACTGCTGCTACTACTACTACTACTGCTGCTGCTACTACTACTACTACTACTACTACTACTACTCCGCCTACTACTCCGCCTCCTCCTGCTGCTGCTACCTGCCGCTGCTTGTGCACTTTCAAAATTTCTATTGTGCTGGTGTCATCTCTTGAACTGCCTCGAACTCAGGACGATGCCCGCACAACGTTTGCTCAGGCAGGCAGTTGGCATTTCTTTGCCTGTCTGTTATTTCCACCGTCCTCACCTCATGCAGATTTGATTTGAAGTGAGTTCGGCAATGTTTCCACAGTCAACATTCTCAAACCCCAAACACAGATGCGCTTGCAGCTCATGTAGCTCCACCGGTCAACCTTGAGGTAGATGGGGCGAATGCACAACCTCCGGTTGTCCTACAAGGAGCTTGCTTGCTTTGCACGGTTGTTCATGTGCAGGTCAAGAGTCCTCAGCATGGTTCTGAACGACGATGAAGACATGCCCGTTCCAAGTGGCAGGTGCACTGGGACGGAATCATTAATCATCATCAGATTCCGAATGAGATGCGAAGGAACCGACAAGAAGCCTTGGTGCAGCCTGAAATCAAACCCGCTGAGCTGAAGCAGGCGGAGGCTGCTGCGGGCGTGCAGCATGGTCACAAGCGAGGAGGAGCCCTTCAGGTCCTGCCAGAGGGTTGAGGGTAATGGCAGTCCACGCTCTTGCCAGCCCAGAACGAACTCGGTGTTGAAGCATTCTGTTCTGGCCATTCAGCAGAAGTTGTGCAGGCGATCACGCGCTATAAGCATGATCGATTCAGACGATGTCGAAAGCGTTGCCTCCTCCACGAATCGGTCCAGAATTCTACCGAGGCGAGGATGCACGAGATATGTGCAGGTGACTGTGGCTGCTCTGCTGTCGTCCCTTTGCCGCAGCCAAGGCGAACCACTGCTGCGAGCATGATCTTCAGCGAAACTTCTGGCGATTCCTTTCTTGAGACTCTCGCTATGAAACATGCGGAGATACATGCGTGATGTACTCTGATGTACTACGGCGCAGATCACTGCAGGCACGGGCCTTGAGCACCTTAGGCCGAGAGAGGCGCTGAGCATGCTCAGCGAAATGCCGGAGCACTGGCTTCTGAGGGATGGGTGCGTCCCTCAGTGCTGGCATCCGGCACCAGTACTGTAGTCATTACAGTGTAGTGGTACAAGTTTGCTGCTACTGCTTCTGCTTCTTCTGCTTCCGCCTCCTCCTCCTACAAAACAAGCAACAATAACAGCCGTCACTACCACCGCAACAAGCACTACTTGTACTACGAATACCACCGTTAGCGCTACCACTGCAGCTGCTTCTAGTGCCAGTGCTACCACAGTTCTACAGCTACTACTGCAGCTACTACTGCTACTGCTGCTACAACAACCACTATTGCCACTGCGACTACGACTACGACGACGACAACGACGACGACGACTACTACTACTACTACTACTACTACTACTACTCCTGCTACTACTACTGCTACTACTGCTGCTACTACCACTGGTATCGCGACGACGACGACGACTACTTCTACTACTACCGCGACCACGACCAACTACTGCTGCTGCTGCTGCTGCTGCTACTACTACTGCTGCTACACTGGTACTGGCACTACTGTTACGACCTGCGCCATATTGCGGATCATGTTGGTGATGACGAGGACGTGGAAATGACGAGGCTAAGAACTGTCAAGCAGTACTATTTTTCTTCTTCTTCTTCTACCGAGCAGATGCCACCGTGCTTGCGTGTGCCCACGTGTGGTTCTTGAAAATTCCCAACGCAATGCGGAATGTGAAGCCGCGCAAACATGGGCAGGCCAGTGTCGGAGCCTTCGCAAGAACCGAAGCTCGGCTGCACCACGATGCTGCAGTCAGGATCTTGTGCAGTAGCTGAATGCTCAAGAACTCTAAGCAAGCCTCGAACTGAAGTGACGCAGTGAAGCAGGCAGCATTGCGACACTGAGGCCACGAGGGGCGCTTAGCATGCTCAGCGAAATGCCGGAGAACTGGCTTGCCAGGGATGGGTCGGGCTCCCAGATGCACAGTAGCAGAGACAGGACCAGGAGCAGGAGAGGCGGCCCACTGGTTCTGTTTTGCATCTACGCTAAGGCGTTGTACGAACTTGCCCCTTTCTTCCTACCGTTTTGCCCACCTGTGCCAATAACCGGAGTTGTGTTCATCTAATTCATCTAATACGAAACAACAGGCAGTGGTAGTGCAGTGGTGGTAGGCGGGTGCTTCGGCGGTGGGCAGGGGCATCGGAGAATTGCATCACAGCATTCTTCCATGGGCAGGCAAGTTTCGGAGCCGTCGCAAGAACCGAAGCTCGGCTGCACTGTGGTGCTGCCATCAAAACCATGCACACTACTGATTGCTCAATAACTTTTAGAGTTTTCAAACGTGTAACAGCACACACTGTATCAAAGCAGTTTTCAACCCCTAGGCCGCGAGGGGCCCTCAGCATGCTCAGCGAAATGCCAGAGCAGTGGTTTGCGAGGGATGGGTCGGGCACCCAGATGCTGTCAGTATCGAGCAGCTGTCGTCGTTGTCCTCGCCGTCCTGGTCGTCCTCGTCCTCATCCGCCTATCCGCCTGCTCATCCTCGTTGTCGTCGTCGTCCTCGTCGTCGTTGTCTCGTCATCGTCGTCGTAGTAGTAGCAATAATAGTAATAACAATAGTCGTCGTATAATAAGAAAATAGTAATAGTAGTAGTAGTAGTACTAGTAGTAGTAGTAGTAGTAGTAGTAGTAGTAGTAGTAGTAGTGGTCGTAGCAGTAGCAGCAGTAGTAGCAGCAGCAGCAGTGGTGGTGCTAGTAGTAGTACTAGCACCGGGCATTGGCACGGGCACTAGCGCGAGCATTTGCAGGAGCAGGAGCAGCAGCAGTAGCAGGAGCAGTTCCCGTGGCCGTATCCGTGGTCGTAGCCTTAGTCGGAGCTTTAGTCGTAATCGTAGTCGTGGCCGCAGTAGCAGTCGCAGTGGCAGCAGTGGAAGCAGTGGCAGCAGCGGCAGCGGCAGCGGCGGCGGCGGTGGCAGCGGCAGCAGTCGCACTGGCAGTAGCAGTA